CCAGGAGGTGGTCCTCAGCTGGCCCCTAAATAAAATTGTGTGCTAGTTCAGTGAAAATGGATGTCACACTAAACTCCAAAACATATAAATGAACTAAAATTAAAAAACATACAAGACTAAGAAAAGCCAGAGGCTCCTGACTTGGGACAGGTGCAAAAATGCAGCAGGGTTAAACATGTTTTGTGAGATCTCAACCCTCCCCTATACCTCAAGTCAATGTAGAAAAAAGAAACACATAGCAATACGCACAGTAAAACTCAGTTTAAAGAAGTCCGAGTCCGATGTCAGAATAGGTAACAAAAGAAACTAAGCAAAATGACAATGATACATAAATGAACAAAGGACTACTAGCAGTTACTGACATGCCAGCTCCAAACCTCAATTAAACTGATTGAAAGATTAGGTCTTCATCATATGAAAATCAAGTACATGTACAATCCCTCCCATTAGGGGTTTAGTATCATACCATCATAAAATATATGAGAACATAACCTGTATCATGCCAACAACTGGTTTTAGAATAAATGTGTTTATTTCCGATGCAAAGACCCTATAATTGAATCAATATTAATATCAAAATATGCCATCCTTAATGATTTTGATGTCCATTTTATCCACAGTATAAGTAGTATCTTGTAACGTCCACCCTGTCCCTTGCTTTTTGTAAAATTGCATGTTTTTATATAGATTAGACTGTTGGTTTTCCCATTTGAATGGTTTAATACTAGTAATTTTTGGGGCCCTTTATAGCTTGCTGTTCAGTGTGAGCCAAGGCTCCGTGTTGAAGACCGTACTTTGACCTATATTGGTTTACTTTAATAAATTTTGACTTGGATGGAGAGTTGTCTCATTGGCACTCATACCACATCTTCTTATATCCAATAAAAGTTTGAATTGTTTTACATTTGTGATTTCAGGACCTTTTATAGCTGACTATGTGGTATGGGCTTTGCTCATTGTTGAAGGCCGTACGGTGACCTATAGCTCAGCTGTAAATTTCTGTGTCATTTGGTCTCTTGTGGAGAGTTGTCTAATTGGCAATCATACCACTTCTTCTTTTTTTATATAGACAAGATTTCATATACAAAACATTATTTTGCGGGTGTATAGAAATTCAATGAAATCCTATAATTGTTCACCCCATTCATTACAACTGCTGGAAAATTACAATTAAGTACCATGGATTACAGAAATATAACCAAAAACCTGATATACCAAAAAGAATAGCCCTGTTTATTTCACTAAATTTCTTTCCAAAATTTGTGACCACAAATATATAAATCTGATTAAAAAAATTCTGGTAAGTTGTTATTGGGCTCGTTTCTCTAAAGGTCACAAGTTTGATTGTAACTTCTTATCATTCAATACAAACTATGACCGATCTTCAAAGTCACAAGTCCTTAGATTAAACAGAACCCTAGTTCCTTTCAGCAAAGGCAACTGTAAAAAGCTTATTTTACATGTCAACATTAAAGTTACATGTTATTTCATGCAATGTTTTATCATGGCAAATTTGATATAGGTGAACATATTTTCAAAGCAAAATGTTACTTTTAAGTTGAAAAGAAAAGTGTTTTGATATATTGGCCATGCAGGCAGTGAACCGGCACTACTTACCTGAAGGGAAATAACACTTTTGAAAAGCTATGAAATTGTGACACATACAAATGAACTGGATACAACATTGGCGGTTCCCATGTATTGATTTACTACTGGCATACTTATGCATTTAAATTTGCATCTCTGGTTAAAATCTGTCTTAAATGTAATAGTATTACCAGAGACATATATACACATGTATATATGTCTCTGGTATTACTATAAAACTCCTAAATATGTGTTTGTTTTGAAAAAAAATAGTGCAATTTATTCAGAAATTTCCACATTTTCTTAATTGATACAGGATACCATAATCGTTGTATCTTGATGTTTTAGCCAAAAAAATGTAATTATTGGTTTTGAAATTCCAGTTTTATACAATAAAATACAATGTCAAATTCCTATTAATCCAGTAAAGTAAAAAAACTTTTAACTTGGAACTAAATTCTTATAGTAGGCATCATGTGATATTTGTGACCTGTACACCATCTACATGGTTTCCACATGTTAACCTTCTTTAGTGGGCTAAAATCGATAAAGTACTTCCTTTTAAGTCATGCATGGTAAAAGTTTACTTCTTCTTTGACAATATTATTGCATTTTTGAAAAGTGTTTGCTGAATATTATTAAAATTAAAAAAAAAAAAATTGTGACAAAGATACCAACTCTGTACATTCCAAGTGTAACGGTATATCAACATGTAATTTTTAAAAAATTATCTTCATTTACCTAAAATATCAAGTACAATTTACTGCTAAAGCAAAATCAATTCAACGAGCATCGGTAGAATGATAAGAGACGTAATGTTGAATGAATTCTCCAAGGAATCTTTTCATCGTTATCCGGAAACAAAGTGTGTTGTAACGTCCCTCGAATAAGAAATCGATTTTGTCAAGTCATTGGGCATTTATTTTTACTCAAGATAGTATGTAACATTATGCACGTAGGAAAAATGATAGACCCCCGTCGCGATCTCTTTGAAAATTGTATTTTCCTTTTTTAAACAATATGAAAACAGTCTACAGAATGTGCTTGCTACTATCCCGTTGGAAACAAAAACGATGTTTAGACCTAATATTTCATGTACCCGGCCGTAAGCGCTTAATCACATGTTCACCACATGTTTCACGTATGACCGGAAATGATTTGGACTGAACGACAAAAACAATTTTAATAAATAAAAAGTAAATAACTGGACTTCTATTTCATGTGAAATGTAACGCATAACGATAACGTCATTTTCTAACTTAATTATTACGAAGAACAAAAATAGAATGTAAATAACCACTGATTTACCTGTTTGGACATCTCGCGAGAGTTCATATTTGCATATTGTTATGAAGAATTCATTTACAATAAAGCAGACTACACCATCTAAAATTTGCGTTACGAAATCGGAAACCAAAGTAACGCTACTTTTCTTACACCTGCTACAAAAATAGTTATAGTTCTTAGCAATTTCTTCTGACTATTCTTTTTGATCGATGTTCTTTATTATTTGAAAGCAAAAGTTACGATTTTGCAGGCGACGATTATCTTAAAATCGGGCAGCGTTACGCACTTCGGAAGCGATAATAACGCTAAGAAACGACATACAAAAGTGGCCGAATAATCTTAAATATTTGTTTATTTCAAGTTCTCTCTAGGGGAGAATGAAAAGCACCTATATTTTAATAGAAATAATAGCATTTGATGGTGGAGCAACAACTTCTCTCAACAAAATACAATATTTTATCACTTTTCTATCGTTATCGGAAACGGTCCCAATACCAAGTTATTGCCCATATATAGTTTTAGAAAAAAAGACCAAAAACTCAAAAATTTAACATTGACCACTGAACCATGAAAATGAGGTCAAGGTCAGAAGACACCTGCCAGTTGGACATGTTCACCTTACAGTCCTTCCATACACCGAATATGCTAGACCTATTGCTTCTAGTATCTGAGATATGGACGACCACCAAAACTTAACCTTGTTCACTGATCCATGAAATGAGGTCGAGGTCAAGTGAAAACTGTCTGACGAGCATGAGGACCTTGCAAGGTACGCACATACCAAATATAGTTATCCTATTACTCATTATACATGTTATAAGAGAGAAATTAACATTACAAAAAATCTTAACTTTTTTTTCACTGAACCATGTAAATGAGGTCATGGAAAATGAACATGTGACAGACGGAAACTTCGTAACATAAGGCATCTATATACAAAGTATGAAGCATCCAGGTTTTCCACCTTCTAAAATACAAAGCTTTAAAGAAGTTAGCTAAAGTCGCCGCCACCGGATCACTATCCCTATGTCGAGCTTTCTGCGACAAAAGTCACAGGCTCATCAAAAATGTGACGAAACTACGTCAAACAAGCTGCAAATAGTGATCGTTTGGGAAATTTTGAAATTAAAATGCGAACTGTCTGGGGAAAAATTATTTTGTTCAATGGACGAAACTACAAAAACATCTATAGATAAACGAACTGCAAATTGTAATCTTTTGAGAAATATTGAAATTGAAATACCAACTGACCAATTTTACTGGGAAAGATAATTATAATGGTCAATTAGACCATCAAGAGGCTTATTAATTAATGGATTAGTGACCAATCCGATAGCGATTAGCAGATTACCTGTAATCACAACTTATAACACCTGCTGTAAATGTTAATTAGCTGAGGGTCATAAGCTTGTCAGAAACATGAAGGCAGGTGGAATTATATAGTATTTTCATCAAAATAATACAATAAAGGCATGAAAAGGGCAGGGTGTCTTAAAATTGGCACATGGCCTCAGAAAAAGGGCACAGGGCGTCAGTCGGAAAAGGGCAGGCGGACCGCCCTATGAAAAAGATCAAGCTGGAAAACTGGTTTTTATTTACCTGTCAATACTGTCTCAGCTATAGTAATAACTGTTTTAGTTTTCATTTACCTGTCAAAACTGTCTCAGCTATAGTAATAACTGTTTTAGTTTTTATTTACCTGTCAAAACTGTCTCAGCTATAGTAATAACTGTTTTAGTTTTTATTTACCTGTCAATACTGTCTCAGCTATAGCAATAACTGTTTTATTTTTTATTTACCTGTCAATACTGTCTCAGCTATAGCAACAAGTGAAACTGCGAGCTACTGCTCACTGATGATACCCCCGCCCAAATATTTCGGTAAACAAGAAGTTGTTGAGTGATGAATCTGTAAACACATCACACGGTATAGCCGACTTATAAAAACCCTAAAACCAAATTTCAGAAATCCTTATGATGCAGTTCCTGAGAAAGATGCGACGAAAAATATTCATGGGACGGACGGACTGACGGACAGACTGAGGTAAAACAGTATACCCCCACTTTTTTAAAGCGGGGGTATAAATTTAAAGCGGGGGTATAATAACTGTTTTAGTTTTTATTTACCTGTCAATACTGTCTCAGCTATAGCAATAAGAATTTGGCCTGCTGCCTCCACTTCATTTTTTCTAATAAGATCACTGATTCTACGAAAGTACCAATCATGAAAACCTGTTTTGGCCTTCAGAAATAGGTCACATGTGTCCTTGTACGAGTTGTATCTTAAATGAAAGGTGCATAAAAATAAGACTTAATACTAGCAGTTTATTAATTTCTTTGAGGAAATCCATGATGTAATGATATTAATCTGTGGGGGAAAAAAATTACCATTTTTTTCATTCAGGACTGCAAGTTTAAAACAGTAGAAATGAAAATGACGAAAAAGAATTGCAACCTTTATTTTGTTGTCGAAAATCACTCTTTTCAATTTTAAATCCATTTAGTTGAGGGGTTCTCTATCTATCAAGTGGGAACCATTAAGCCAAACAGACCAAGATATAATTGAAGTACTTGCACACACTGAAGGGTTAAGATTGCATTCTTCCTGCAGTGGGAACTAAAAACTTAACATTGCATTGTATTACTATAGCATTGGAAGGCAATACTATGGATTGGATATACGTCCTTTGTCCATAATTGTAGCCAGTTCAACTACAAATATGGACAATTGTATATGGACAAAAAAGATATCTCCAGTTTTAAATCCAACTTTGACAGTGACAATCTTGATAGTTTTAGAACAGATATATTCATACACCATGCACAACTTATGTAATTTTCTTGAAAAATATGGTCAAATATAAACACATCATTTTGTAACTTAAATATCAGAGTACATATTTTATTGATAAATTTCTTCTACGTTTTTTTTGCCCACAAAATTTGTGAAAAGGTCTGGAAAATTGATGACAACCAAGCCAGCTTGGAAAGGTTTTGATTGCATGGATGCACTCATTACCCTGAACCTGGATGAAAATAAAACTTAAGTATCAAATTTAAGAGAAAATAATAATTGAGTCATTTATAGCTTGGATGATGATGATAATGGATGGCTGCTTAACGTCCAGCGGCAAATTGATATGCATATTCAGGACAAAACATGTTAATGTAATATGAATATTAGCCCTGATTTATACTAGACTGACACAATGAGCAGGATTTTGTCATCTTACCCAGACACATTATTCTGACTCCGAGCCGACCAGTCTTTGCTCTTACTCCTTAATGCTGCATGCTTAGCGGAGAAGCAGCAAATACCAATTTTAAAGTCTTAAGTTTGACCTGGCCGGGGTTCGAACCCATGACCTCCTGCACTCGAGGCGAACACACTACCAAGAGACCACCTAGGCTGTTTTTTTAGATTGGAAACAATAAATGATACATCAACTTAATTGATAAACTGTTGAAAATTTTTGTCAAGTGGAAGAATGCAATATAAATCCCATCCAGTTAAGAGAACAAGGGTGTCCTTACATTTACTAGTACTACTGTTAAAGCCATCAAGGGTCATAAAAAATAAACAAGTGGCTATTGTCAAAATCTTAAAGAGGTAACCTCCATGTCATGCATTTTGTCATTACTAACAACCTATTCATATTTGAAACAAGAAATCAGCTGTCAAATTGACAGCTAACAAAATTTTCTGTATTTTGAAGGCGCTTTCAGGCTTGTCTGACCTACCACATTCTGTACCTCTTTTAAACTGAAATATTTATCATGACGTGAGTAACTTATGAAATAGGGTTTCCCCTTTTTCATTTATTTCTTAATACAATTCAACAACATTTACCTATCGGACAGATCAGATGCAAGTTTCTTCTTGAGTTTCTCCAATGATATATCCCATGTTGACTGCTCATCTGGTAGCAATCCAAAAGTTGGATCAGGTGCTCCCTGTAGTGTATTATACTCAGAATGGATGTCTCTGATTTCATCTATAAAATAAAGAGTTAACAAGGAATGAGCTGTCAAGGACCATAACTCCTTAATGGCAAAAATGAAAATCATCAATATCAAACTTGACCATCATTTTGTCATCAGTAATAGTCAAAGCAGAAAATTTTCAAAATCAAAAGCAAACAAAAAAACAGTGTAAAGTTTGTACATGTAGTAATTTGGTCCAATCAAACTAAAGCTAGTGTGTGACATGAAGAAAATTTAAATATATCCACATGCACTTTTATTTTACCTATATATCTTTATGTAACACAAGGTACTTAAGTTAACATGCATTTTTCGTGAAATGACACTCAGTCTCATTTTTTTACTTTTTCTATTCCAAGTATTTTATCCTAATAAAACTTTTCTTGTATATATACATGAATTTATCTACACAATGGTGTTTAACAGGCCTACCTTTGCGGTCTGAATTAATTAATTGCAGGCCTGCAAGTAGTTTGACAAAATTATTGATGTATGAAAAGCTTTAACCTTAAGACTGTATCTTAATGATAACTGTAAACAAGAATGTGTCCATAGAACACGGATGCCCCACTCGCACTATCATTTTCTATGTTCAGTGGACTGTGAAATTGGGGTCAAAACTCTAATTTGGCATTAAAATTAGAAAGATCATATCATAGGGAACATGTGTACTAAGTTTCAAGTTGATTGGACTTCAACTTCATCAAAAACTACCTTGACCAAAAACTTTAACCTGAAGCGGGACAGACAGACGAACAGACAGACGGACGCACAGACCGAAAACATAATGCCCCTAGGTGGGGCAAAAAAACTAGAGGCTCTCAAGAGCCTGTGTCGCTCACCTGTATCTACTGTGCTTTTGGAAATCATGTAAAATAAGGTTAAAATCATATAGATACCCTAATAATGATTGAGGCCAAGTTTGGTTTAATTTGGCCCAGTAGTTAAATTAAAAGCTGAAGACTTTTGAAAAGATTTACAAAAATTAACAATAAATCGCAGAAAATAACTTAAAAGGACAATACATGTAACTCCAATAAGATGTCAATTGCCAATTGTTCATGTTAACTTATTTGTAGATCTTTCTTTGCTTGATATTTTTGCTGTTTACAGTATATCTCAATCTATAATGATATTCAAGATAATTAACAAAAAATAAAAAATTTTCTTTCCTCCGCTCCAAAATTTATTTTACCCAGGGCCTGTATAATGCTGAAAATGCCTTTAAATGTTTTTGCCCTTCAAAAAAATTTGGGCAGGGGTTCCCCTGACCCCGACTAACCCGCCGGCTCTGGGGGGCATTCACCCAATATAAATGTGCTGAAAGAAAAGATATAATAATGGTCCAAGGACACAGTTATCGTCCTTTGGTTTTCGTTGTCTACAAATATAGTCCCTAGTGTGAACAGTGTATAACTTGCATCTTTTTTTTGATACACTTTCCCAATTTATTTCTTGATATTTTATGCATGAAATATTAAGTAAGGGGATGAAATTACATGTTAAAAAAATTTGGGTGCTGAATCTTTAAGTTTAGTAGTGATTTGGTCCAGTTAAAAAAGGTCAAAAATTAGAATGTCTGAAGCTGTCAAACTGAATTTTAGCCCCCCTTAACACAGAACTGTCAATATTTTGAGTTAGAGCTGGTAGAAGTTTCTATAATTTTGATATTATTTGTATCAATAGTAGTACACTACACTGTAAAAATCTTTTTGAGATAGAGCAGGTGCGATTTTTTTAATTTGAATTTATTGTCTAAAAGAAATGCACTACGAAATAACTGTGTTCTCGGGCCTAAGAGATGAATTCCGTAAATGTAGATTCTGTACTTTGGCAACTTTCCTGAATGGTTTGCTGGTTTCAATTTGTCAAACTCAATAAAAGTAAAGGATTTACATCTTTGTTTGACAGAAATTCTGTTAAAATGTCCCATTTTGGCATTATACGGCTAAAATAAGCATTTTAAAGCAGTTTCCATTTTATGCTTAAGAGCCATGCTGACTTTCTATCTGACAGCTTTTTATGTTCCTGATATTTGTGTTTCTAAGCTTAAATCAAATTTAATTAACCATTTGTGAACTCGGAATCTAGAGAAAAGTAGATTATCACAGAAAAAATGTGCAGAATATTTGTATTTATGTCCCTGGTTAAACGGCCTGTTAGATGTATGTGAAATGTGAAGAGCTTTGTACATAAAATCTGTAGTCAATCACAAATATTTCACTAAATCTGTAAAAAAAACACTTTACAATGATCAGTACACCCTATTCATTTCATATGCTACCATAATTTTCTTCTTTAGGATAGTAAGTGGTTCAAATATATGCCAAATGAGACTAAAACTACATGCAAGTTTTCCATTGAAAAGTGAAAAACTGGTCATCAGACCATACTGTCTGCCAAAAAAAGTTAAATTCAAGAGTCCTTTTGCAATTAGACTTCTTGTATCATGACATCTTAGCATAGAAATGAGCAAAAAGTAACAAATTTCAATTTCTTATAGCCTCTGTGTGCATTTTTATATGTAAATATGGGCTACGGCCTAAATCGACTCTAAATAATTCTCAGTCTTACATGGCCTAAGACCATTTTATACTCATGTGGTATGCTTTTTGTAACTTTTTTTTACATTTAAAGTACATTTAATATATATGGAAGAATAATGTATGGTTAAAAAACTTCAAAAACTTCAAATTGGTTGAAAAACATGCATGTTTATGTAAGGCTTCCCTTAATTCGAAATTCTCTATTTTCAGGCACAGGCTCATATAAATTTGACTTTTGAATAACTGTAATAAATCTGATAAATCAAATGAGTGTTCCGTTGCTTTTAATACTTATTATATTAAATTCAAGAGTATTTAAAAAGCAAATTTTTGCAATATTTAAATTTTTTAGGCCAAAATCTTGACAGTTGAAAATATTTGATTTAAACGTCAAAAATAAACATACAAATTTCAATATTAAAATGGCCCTAGTTTCTATAATATATATCCTATGGCCATGAAACTTGGTCAACTATCTTATAATTGCCTAAGCTTAAGTCATGCAAAGTTTTATTAAAATTGGTCAAGTCTTTCTATCCTATTAGGTCCAAGGACACAGTTATCGTCCTTTGGTTTTCGTTGTCTACAAATATAGTCCCTAGTGTGAACAGTGTATAACTTGCATTTTTTTTTTGATACACTTTCCCAATTTATTTCTTGATATTTTATGCATGAAATATTAAGTAAGGGGATGAAATTACATGTTAAAAAAATTTGGGTGCTGAATCTTTATGTTTAGTAGTGATTTGGTCCAGTTAAAAAAGGTCAAAAATTAGAATGTCTGAAGCTGTCAAACTGAATTTTAGCCCCCCTTAACACAGAACTGTCAATATTTTGAGTTAGAGCTGGTAGAAGTTTCTATAATTTTGATATTATTTGTATCAATAGTAGTACACTACACTGTAAAAATCTTTTTGAGATAGAGCAGGTGCGATTTTTTTAATTTGAATTTATTGTCTAAAAGAAATGCACTACGAAATAACTGTGTTCTCGGGCCTAATGATTTATAGAAAAAATAACACTGAATAATTCTAAAAATGGAACATATCAAGGAGAAATTATAAGCCCCCCCCCCCCCCCCCCCTGGAAAAAAAATCAAGTCATCCCATTGTAGTCTTACAATAGTTATTGAAGACCCCTTATTATTTAAATTAGTTTTCCAAGTTGTGACCATTTGAAATTGTTTCTTACATTTTTCACATAGACTTCTATAGTAAACCCTTATGTTCTATTTTTACCAATTGGAACCATGTTAGTTGTAGGGCAGGGTCATCAGATACATTTTTCAATCAAGATACTCCAATAATAATTGTGGCTAAGTTTAATTCTATTTGGCCAAGTAGATTGAGGGGAGTAGATTTTTGTAAAAGATTAAAAAAATTTACGAAAAATAGTGAAAAATTGACTTTAAAGGGCAATAACTCCTTAAGGGGTCAATTAACAATTTTGGTCATGTTGACACTGATGAACATTTTAACCCCGTTAGATTTTCTCTTAATGCTTAAGTTTCAGAGATGTAAGCCAATCAAAGTGCTGGATAGCACCTGTGGAAAGTTTGCAACGGTAGATGTGTATTATTTCAAATAGGTTGTAGATGTGTATTACTTCAAATAGGTTGTAGATGTGTATTATTTCAAATATGTATTTAATCACAGCTTTGGTGTTTTTCCCTAAACCATTGTCTCATCAGCAATTATCAAAAATCACTTTTTTCATATGTTTGTCATGTAAAATTTTGATAATTTCTATTGCAACCTTAAGCTGTAGATTTAATATAATCAAATATACAGAAAGCCCAGCTAATTTCTTTCTGTGCCCATCCCATGTAAAGGGCCTGTGAATAATTATTTTTTATTGATTAATGTCCTTCATATTTGTTTGTAGTAAATTGTATTATTACTAATTAAGCAATTAGTTTTCTTGTTTGAATTGCTGTATATTGAACAAACTCGGACTATGATTAGTAGATTGTGTGGTTAATGGTTTTTTCCGACTTCTAAAATTTTTTACTTAATACAAGAAATAATTGTAACAGGATGCTGAAACGAAGTCTCCCAAACAAACCTCCCATTATTAGTCATTCCCATGGTCGCCTGACATCGGGCAAATTGGTTTGGTCTAGTTAAGTGATATGCATAAGTGACGCCTAGGGATTAACCCTGTATATAATTTTTTTGAAATCATGAAAAGGAATATATATGGTTTAGGGGTGGGGATCTCGACCGTTTACAAGTTTACAAAAAAAAGGGGGGTGGGGGTGACCCCCGTTAGCTTCCCCTATATTTCATTTGATTTGTTTTATTGTCCCATACAAGAATATATATGATTTAGGGGTGGGAATCTCAACCTTTTACAAGTTCTCAAACAGGATGGGGTGGGGGTGACCCCCAGGGACTCCCCCTATATTTCATTTGATTTGTTTTATTGTCCCATACAAGAATATATATGGTTAAGGGGTGGGGATCTCGACCGTTTACAAGTTTTCAAACAGGAGGGGGTGGGGTTACCCCCAGGGACTCCCCTATATTTCTTTTGATTTGTTTAATTGTCCCATACAAGAATATATATGGTTTCAAGGTGGGGATCTCGACCGTTTACAAGTTCTCAAACAGGAGGGAGTGGGGTGACCAAGAGGGACTCCTGCTATATATCATTTGATTTGTTTTATTAACCCATACATGAATATAAATGGTTTAGGTGTGGGGATCTCGACTGTTTACAAGATAAAAGCCCATTCTCAAATTGAAGTGTGTGGGGGGGGGGGGGGGTGACCCCAGGGACTCAACATTTATTTCATTTGATTTGTTTTATCGTCCTGTGATCACTACTGAAGACCGTGTGTGTCTATCACTTACTGTTCTCAAGTTATAGTCATTTGAAAATTAAAAAAAAAAATCCCATAGGTTTCTTTAGTAAACCCTTCCCTTCTGTAGGCCCCTCAAAATACCCATAAATAGATCCCAAGAAAAAAAATAAGAAGAACTGAGCAAAAACAATAAGTCTCCAAACTTTGTTTGGGATAGTCCGATTTTGTAATAGGCCAAGTTTGTTATAGTCCGAGTCTGTTATGGGCCGAAATGAGATACCAGGTTACTTTCGATACACTCGAGCTTTTACGTTTTTAATAAACATTTGTAATAATAGTAGTAAAAATAGCGTCAAAAAAATGTTCATTCATGAAATATTTTAAACACGGTATTTATTTTCTCTTCAACCGGAGGACGGGAGGAAACCCCAAAAACCGGGATTATTGTACTCCCGTCGGGAGGTACACATATATGGATCTCACGCATGTCTGGGGAATACCCATAAAAACATAACGTAGAAACTGCTGTCTCATGTAGCCTGATAATGTGTATTGATTTTAATTTCCGGCCAGCACAGATCCGCGAAGTAGTGTTTGTGCTATCCATTTTCAAAATGAAGTTGAATTCATTTGAATTATAAGATGAACATTCAGTACATTTTAATTCAAGCTGTAAGCTTATCAAAATAGAAGTAACTCAAAATTTTAAAAGCATCTTCTTAGAATTAGTATTCAAACACTAGTACTACATTATCTAGGAGTAGAACACTTGCGATAGTCTGTCCAACTTCTGGTTTGAGGCCGATGCCTTAGGAAAGTATATTGCTATAGCAAGCTATAGCAAACTTTCCAAAAACTGCATTTTACTTTTATGTTCAATTTTTAGCCATGGCGGCCATCTTGGTAGGTGGGCGTGGTCATCGGATACATTTTTAAACTAGATACCCTAAGGATGATTTAGGACAAGTATGGTTTAACTTGGCCCAGTAATTTCAGAAGAAGATTTTTGTAAGATAACAAAAATTTACAAAAAATTGTGAAAATTGACTTTAAAGGGCAATAACTCCTTAAGGGGTCAATTGACAATTTTGGTCATGTTGACTTATTTGTAGATCTTACTTTGCTGAACATTTTTGCTGTTTACAGTTCATCTCTATCTATTATAATATTCAAGATAAAAACCAAAACCTCCAAAATTTCCTTAAAATTACCAATTCTGGGGCAGCAACCCAACAACGGGTTGTCTGATGCGTTTGAAAATTTCAGGGCAGACAGATCTTGACTTGATGAACATTTTTACCCCAGTCAGATTTGCTCTAAATGCTTTAGTTTCAGAGATATAAGCCAAAAACTGCAATTTACACCCATGTATATTTTTATCCATGGTGGTCATCTTGGTTAGTGGGCGGGGTCATCAGATACATTTTTTAAACTAGATACCCTAAGGATGATTTAGGTCAAGTTTGGTTTTATTTGGCCATGTAGTTTCAGAGAAGGTTTTTGTAAAAGTTAACGGACGACGACAACGACGGACGCCAAGTGATGAGAAAAGCTCACTTGACCCTTTTGGGTCAGGTGAGCTAAAAACCAAGTCTATTTATCAGTATAATAGTTTCAAAATGGAAAAAAATAAATGTGGATAGTGTCCACATGTGGACACAGATGATGCCCCCGCTTCATATCATATAGTTATAAAGGGACATAACTGAAGAACAGTAAAAGTGACGTTACCCAAATTTGAAATTGATCTGAGTTTTGTGGTAATAAGCATTGTGTGTAAGTCTCATAACATTTGGTTGAGGCTAACCTCAGTAGAGAACAGAAACTAAAAATTCAGCAATTTTTCTATTTGTAAACACGCATAACTCTAGAACGGTTGTGTATAAGTTTTATAACATTTGGTTGAGACAAACTATAGTTAGAGAATGGAAATAAAAAAATTCAGCAATTTTTATGTTTATAAAGGAACATAACTCAAGAATGGTAAAAGTGTCGCCACCAAATTTCGTACTTAATCTGTATTATGTAGTAATAAGCATTGTGTATCAGTTTCATAACATTTGGTTGAGGCAAACTAAAGTTGGAAAACGGAAACAAAAAATTTGTACTTGATCTTAGTATTGTGGTAATGAATATTGTGTATAGGTTTCATAATGTTTGGTTGGGGCAAACTTAAGTTACAGAATGGAAACTAAAAATTTTGCAATCTTTCGATTTATAAAGGGGCATAACTCAATAATGGTTAAAGTGACACTACCCAAATTCGACTTGATCTGAATTTTATCAGTGGAAGTCAATACATTGCATTGTATAAAGCATTGATTGTAGTTGATTCAACTATAATCATGGACAAAGGAAGATAACTCCAATTTTAAAAATTACTTGATATTTAGAAGACATTTTTTTTTGCAATTTTTCCATTTATAAAGGGGCATAACTCTAGAACGGTTAAAGTGACGCCACCAAAATTCAAACTTGATCTGTGTTTTGTGGTAATAAGCATTGTGTATAAGTTTCATAACATTTGGTTGATGCAAACTCAAGTTAGAGAACGGAAACCAATTTTGGGACGTACGTACGTACAGACGGACAAGGGTAAAACTTAATGCCCCCATTGCTACAGCAGGGGCATAAAAAATCAAAATTTTGCTCTGAATTCTGTCTTTAGATCACAAGAACTTCTGTCCAAGTTTATTAAAATCCCGTGAAGGTTTGACAAAGTTAGTGATGTTGGAGAAAAACTTTAACCTGACTGAACCTAAATGTTGATGCTTTACTGAAGTATAGCTACGTCTACATTCCGCAACAAATTATGGCAGGTTGAACAAAAAGCAATTATGTATACTTTGCATGGATACATGTATTTTTAGCACAACAGCTCGCTTAACCATTAGATGACCTAGAGGACTAAAAAGTCTTAAGGTTAAAATTTGACACAAATAACATTGAATTGTACCAATATATTGAAAAACTCTTCCTAAAACACCACCAGGGTCTTCATTTATAGCATATTGTAAGAGTTTTTGTAACTGATCTCTAGTCAATGTGGAAAGGGTCTCTGTCACTGGAGCATGTATTGGAACCTGCAATAAACAATGTATCATATTTAGAGAATATTATGTAACAGGTTACTATAAATTGTAAGGGCACAAACTACCAGGTGACTGGGGCAAAGAAATTGCTTTTCCTTCCATCAATTTCGTTTTTCCGGACCATCAAAAGCAAGGTGTTTACAACAGTTGTTTTCTTCATCAGCAATTTTTAATTTTTACCAAGTTGATTAAACAGCAATTTTTAATTTGTTAGTTCATTAGACCATGATGAAAATTGCCTTTGGTTAAATTCCATCCATTCATTGCATTAAAAACGTTTTACTCTTTTCCAAATCACTTGTCAAACATTGTTTATTTTTGTTAATTTCCTTGCAGTAATCTACGATGTTTTTGTCTTTGTGTAGCATTATTTTCCTGAGGTTTTAAGACAACCGCAGCATACCTCCGGGTATCCATCCTGATTACTCTCTATCAGTCTACCGTTAGGTGTTGGTTCACTCGATGCAACAAAAAATTGTTTATTTTTGTTAATTTCTGCCGTCTCTAATTGAAATATTTATACATACACCAGATTGTATGCAGACCAACTATGAACTAAATCCATATTCTTACGTTAAAAAATGGCGCAGCTGACAGAAGAATAGTGTACCCAAAGGCAAAAAAAATGCATTCCATTCACATTAACAGACATTTGGTTAGAACTCCTTAGTTAAATGTATATATTTCCGTGTAAATGCAGTTGTTTCAGTTGATTGATTTAAGTTGCTTAAAATCAATTTTTAATGAGAAACAATTCATTTCATAAACAGAATAGTTTTCTTGATCAGACAATACTCGGATTTCACCTTGAACTCGTCACACATCATGATTTTGACAGAAAATCAATCAGATATTAGCTATCAACTTCAATGGACTAATTAATAAAAGTGTTGTTTTTTCTATTGAAATTGTGTGGTAAAAGGGCATCACATGTCACCTAAAGGGTTGTTTTTACAACTTTGATAAAAATCGTTTTGAAGTGGGTACTAAACAATGGTTTTATCAGGGTATATTTTTACGTCTCAACTTTTACTTTTAACAATGGTCCTGAAGAAGAAAAAACGCTCAAAAGTGAGAAAATAACTTTGATTTTTATTCTTTAGTATCCAAACTGATTGAAGATGAATCCCATGTTCCCAGAAGTCAAATAGGATGATTTCATGATCTCGAAATACAATTTAAGAGTATCTTTAAAAAAGTAAATGAGAAGTTTTTGTTCTAATTGAGTGTTCATTTATTACCAAGTAGATTATAAATTAGATACTTAGAATTATAATAAATGAGACAAGAATACTGCAAACTGTTTTTTTTTTTTTTTTTTTTTTGTTAGCAAGAAGGAAATTCTAAACAGAAATATGTTTATGTTAGTTGGTGAAAAAAAAATTGAGAGCAGCGAAAAAAATATTGTTTTGGTGAAAAAGAAAATAGACCCAGGGGAAACCCTGCTTCACCCTATCAGTTTCAAAAAGAGAAGTCACTTCTCCCTGTCATTCTGAAGAAGTGTATGCCCTGAATTGTAATATGATAGATGTTGTTAAATTTGGATTTAGCACCTGAGATGAAAAGTCACATGTTGATACACTAAAATATCTGAGATGTTGTAATATTTGAAGTGATAATAAAATTTGATATGAAACCTATCAGATTCACATTTACCTCATATACCTGTACTAGATACAACAGTTCCAATCTTTTCAAAAACGTCTTTAAGACTGTAAATCACTCTGTTTTATCTTACCTTATCTGCATTCTTTATTCTCTCTAAAATAACAGCTATAGTATGTTGACAGAAAACTGACTCTGAGCAAGCTGAGCATGATGTCGATGTCAAATGCTGCTTTTCAAAAGTGAGTGACACTTTGGCTTCTGTATTATCTCTGGTTTCAACAAAAGCAGCAACCATGAAGCCTAAAACATATTAAGGATACACTGTAATGGCAGTTAAATCAATGGGTTTATCTACACTCATTCTGGATAAAAATTAAATTGTGAAAATATTCCTCTGCATTAAATTGACCTCTATGGAAGTTCGCAATCAGGGATACATAAAACATAAACTATAACCTATATGTGTTTAGAACAGGTTTTGCCATAGAAATAGCAAAATTTAAACATTGCCTAAATAAAGTACTTTACAGTACATGTACATGCATGAAATGTATATAATAATGTTTCAAAGCTAAATCATTAAATATGGACCAATTATCTACTATGAATTGGAGATTACAATCATAGAAAAAAACTAGAGGCTCTAAAGAGCCTGTATCGCTCACCTTGGTCTATGTGCATACTAAACAATGGACACAGATGGATTCATGACAAAATTGTGTTTTGGTGATGATGTGTTTGTAGATCTTACTTTACTGAACATTCTTGCTCCTTACTAATATCTCTATCTATAATGAACTTGGCCCAGTAGTTACAGTGGAAAATATTTTGTAAAAATTTACAAAAATTTACAAAATTTATGAAAATTGTAAAAAAATTGACTACAAAGGGCAATAACTCCTTAAGGGGTCAATTGACAATTTTGGTCATGTTGACTTATTTGTAGATCTAACTTTGCTGTACATTATTGCTGTTTACAGTTTATCTCTATCTATAATAATATTCAAGATAATAACCAAAAGCTGCAAAATTTTCTTAAAATTACCAATTCAGGGGCAGCAACCCAACAACATGTTGCCTGATTGGTCTGAAAATTTCAGGGCAGATAGATCTTGACCTAATGAACAATTTTATACCATCAGATTTGCTCTAAATGCTTTGGTTTCAGAGATATGAGCCAAAAACTGCATTTTACCCTATGTATTATTTTTTTGCCATGTCGGCCATCTTGGTTTGCGGGCAGGGTCATCGGACACATTTTTTAAACTAGATACCCTAATGATGATTGTGGACAATTTTGGTTAAATTTGTCATAGTAGTTTCAGAGGAGAAGATTTTTGTAAAAGATTACAAAAATTTACGAAAAATGGTTAAAAATTGAATATAAAGGGCAATAACTCCTTAAGGGGTCAACTGACCATTTTGGTCAAGTTGACTTATTTGTAGATCATACTTTGCTGAACATTATTGCTGTTTACAGTTTATCTCTATCTATAATAATATTCAAGATAATAACCAAAAACGGCAAAATTTCCTTAAAATTACCAATTCTGGGGCAGCAACCCAACAACGGGTTGTCTGATTCATCTGAAAATTTCAGGGCAGATAGATCTTGACCTGATAAACAATTTTACCCCATGTCAGATTTGCTCTAAATGCTTTGGTTTCAGAGATATAAGCCAAAATCTACATTTTACCCCTATGTTCTATTTTTAGCCATGGCAGCCATCTTGGTTGGTTGGCGGGGTCATCGGACACATTTTTTAAACTAGATACCCCAATGATGATTGTGGCCAAGTTTGGTCAAATTTGGCCCAGTAGTTTCAGAGGAGAAGATTTTTGTAAAAGTTTACGGACGACGGACGACGGACGCAAAGTGATGAGAAAAGCTCACTTGACCTTTCAGGTCAGGTGAGCTAAAAAGAAAACTTTAATTTTAAATATTACTTTAACAATGACATCATTGAAATTTTTAGAACAGATACTAGATTCATGCACTATGCACAATTTATAATATTTTCTTGACAATATAAAAATAATAAGATGTGGTATAATTGCCAATGAGACAACTCTCCAACAGAGACCAAATGACATAGAAGTCATACCGCATAGTCATCTATAAAAAGCCCCAAAATGACAAACTGAATGTAAAACAATTCAAACTTCTGACTTAGGACAGGCACATACAGAATGTGGCGGGTTTTAACTAGTTTGAAGGCACCAACCCTCCACCTAACCTTGGCCAGGGACAGTAGTGTAACAATACAACATAAGTACAAATTATAATAAAATGCTCCGCTGGGCGCAGCTTGATACGACAGCAGAGGTCGAACCCTGAACAGTTGGGGCAAGTATGGACACAACATTCAAGCTTGATACAGCACTGAATTTGGATTGTGATTAAATATTTGACACAGCATAGGTTTCTGACACAGAATGAATGTGGTCTAAGAACTAACAAAATTTTGATTTACCTATTCAAACCATATCATTATTATTTGCTTTTATATATAAATCAGAAATAACCAATTTAAAATGGAAAATTTTAAAGAAAAAAAAAGGAAAAAAAATCCCCCCCCCCCCAATTTTTTGGACCCCCTTATAATTCATCACCCCCAAACTCAATCCCAGACTTCCCTTCATGGTATGGTACCTTGCAGTACAATTTCAGAGAGATGCATACACTTGAACACAAGTTATTGTCTGGAAACTAGAAAAATGCTTGTTTTTTGGCCCCTTATTCCTAAACGTTTTAGGCAAATACCCACAAACTCAAACCCAGCTTTCCCTTTGTGATATGGAACCTTGTAGTACAATTTCATAAAGATCCATACATTTATACATAAGTTATTGTCCTGAAACTAGAAAAATGCTTGTTTTTTGCCCCTTTTTGGCCCCTAATTCCTAAATTTTGAGGCAATTACCCCAAAATCAATTCCAGCCTTCCCTTTGTGGTATGGTACCTTGCAGTACAATTTTAGAGAGATCCATACACTTGAACACAAGTTATTGTCTGGAAACTAGAAGAATGCATATTTTTGGCCCCTTTTTGGCCCCTTATTCCTAAATGTTTTGGGCAATTACCCCCAAACTCAATTCCAGCTTTCCCTTTGTGATATGGAACCTTGTAGTACAATTTCAGAAAGATCCATACACTTACACACAAGTTATCATCATGAAACGAGAAAAGTTTGTTTTTTGCCCCTTTTTTTGGCCCCTAATTCCTAAAATTTTGAGGCATTTACCCCCAAAATCAATCCCAGCATTCCCTTTGTGATATGGAACCTTGTGGTACAATGTCAGAGAGATCCATAAACTAACACACAAGTTATGTCTGGAAGTTACAAATATGCTTATTTTTGGCCCCTTAATTCCTTAACTGTTGGTACCATAACCCCCAAAATCAATCCCAACCTTCATTTTGTGGTATTGAACCTTATGGTTAAATTTCATAGAGATCCATCACTTAAACTAAAGTTAGAGTGTGAAAACCAATGTGTCTTCGGACGACGACGACGCCAACGTCATACCAATATACAACCAGGCCATAATCTTGCCGAAGAAATGACGATTTAAGTCGCCAAAGAATTTTGAAAATCGCTAAATCTCGCCAGCCGACTGACTTCATGGCAAAGTCAAATCGCTATGAAAATCGGTAAAAGGGAGACAACTTGTGAATTACAAGTCTCCCAGGTAAAAAAAATGGCGACTGACAAGGAAAATCGAGATTTTCGAAACGACCCAGGACTAATACTGTCGACGATCAAATTAAATAAATACAACGGCGACTTTGAACATCCTCGGATATAACTTTCAAAACTATTCAATAGGAAAACTGACCGTCTGTTAAAGTTATCATTTTACGATGATTTTTATCCGAGGATGTTGCGTAATCACTCAGCTGTTTTGTTTTATTTTTATTTATTACGAGTCGATCAAATTGTAATATTCGGTAGGTTAAGGTTGGGAATTAACGGTAGATTTATTATATTCATTGAATAAAAATTGAAATATAAAAGGTAGAAAGACAGCTGATGGATAATGTGATTGCAAACGTACGACACTCGACCAGCTGTGATCAGCAGTGCATTTTTTTTTCACGACCATTTCGTTCATAGGGAAGATATCTTTAAAAAATGATAGAAATTAGCTCTTTATCGGTTAATTAATATGTGATTGACAGATATTTTCATTTATAGGCTTACAATCTTTAATGAGAATCTCAATTTACAACTACATGTAACATGATGTCCTGGACATTCACTAATGTTTTACAAAATAATGACAAGTGGTGATATACATGATATAAATTAAATTCCCAGTCATGTGAAATTCATCAGGTAAACTGGGAGTCATATTTTTCTGGACATTTAAAAATAAATTGAGGCAGATGCACAATAATTTAATGCATCATAATATTACTAGGCTACTCCCTCATGTCACAAGCAACAAATTTTATTCAAACTTCAATTCAAGTTGACAGTACAAATGGTATCAATGAATAAATAACAACTATATTGTCTAAACCTTTTTATTAAGAACTTTCTATATATACATTTTGTACAATAACATGAAAAAACTGCAAGTATACGTATTTTTTATTGCATATAAAACAATTTCCTTAGTGATAAGCAACGGGAACACTATGCAACCGAAACAGTAATGGAATCTCACTTCTCCAAGAAATTGACCACTTCTCCCTTCTCTCTCATGGAAGGAGAAGTCACTTCTCCCTCTCCAAAATCCTAGATTAGGCCCTGTACAACCGCAAAAATTTTTTGCGAAATTTTGCGGCAGTATAAAAATCAGTTTAAAAGGGCTTAAGTCATCAGATCAATACACAGCAGAAATACATCTAACAAAAACACAAACCGGAAGTGACAGGGTACTTATACATCCCACAACAAAAAAAGACACTAAGTACAGATCTGAGAGTACTCGCAGTTACTGACAGCTAGTTCAAAGCCAATAATAACTAATAAAAAAATCATGCATCTAAGACTGAAATATCAATCAGTACACACCCAACATCCAATGGATTTATTGTAATGACGCCATTAACAGTCAGGGAAAAACATGACCTTGTGCAATGCCAAAATACAGGTATGGACAGATTGTAGAGCCATGGATGTGCATATGTATATAGACTGATAACAAAATCAATATTAATACCAATAAAAACAATATTCAAAGATCTAATTACAGTGTTGAATTGGTAACCTTTTTGAATAAGTGTATATAAAGGATCGATAAGTTTACCCAGATTGTATCCAAATTTCCAGGCTCGTAAAAAAAAAATTAGGATGTGCTTTCCTGTTCAAAATAAGTTTTCTACGGGTATAACCAAACTTCCAATTCAAATCTTTGTATCTATGGAAGAATTTAGTTAAGGTTTTTTAGTAATTTGTGGTAACGAAATCCCTGACTTAATAATTTAACAGTAATACATAGATTACATTCATTGAAATCCAAAACGTCACAACAGACATGGGCATAGCAAACGAGCTGTGATATATAAACACTGTCTTGGTGTCAAAGGAACATCACCGTCCAAAAAAGGAAAATTAACAATAGGGAACGCAAAATCGTCCCTTTTGTTGTAAATTTTAGTGTAGAGTTTCCCCATGTGAAACTGAAATATCTAAATCTAGGAAAGGACAGTTATTACTGTTTATATTTGAATTATTTAAGTATGATTATAAACATACAAATCATTTTCAATGATTTTGTAACTGGAATATATCTAAGTATATATTTCATTGATAAATTTCTTGAAATGTTCTTAATGTATAGACTGTTGTGCTCAATGCACTGGGTTTTTTTATCTTAAAAGAAGTGATAGAGTCTGGAAAATTGATAACTATCAATCCAGTCACATAACAGTTTTGATTGCATGAATGCAATCTTTACCCAAAAAATTATGTTAAGTAACCATCAATTATGACAATTATATTTCATATTCTGAGCTGGGATGGGCATGAGTACTGTCAAATGTAATCGATTAATAATCAATTTACATGAAGGATTTTTGTGTAATTTATTATAAATAGATTACACTGATTTTTTTTTATGTAATCAAAAGTAATTACATTACTTTTCGATTACTGTCAATTACATGCTACAAAATTTTTTAAAAAATAACTAAAGAAAGCTAACTACAATTATACTGCTCAACAAGCTTGTAAGTGTAAGAACTTTACACAAGCATTGCTTCTAAATGTCATGTTTTAAACAGTTGTTTTCTAGACAGAGGATCCAAATAAATTAAAATGTTATTGAAATATGGGTCAACAACAGAGAGTAGTGATATTGTTCCTGCATTGACTTCCACCAATGCACCATATCTTTTTATTATGGGTCATTTATTTCATATTTTGCACATATTTGATGACATACTGTTTTACTGACTTAAATTTTTGTTGTTCGTTTAACTCATTATTGGCAGATATATTTGATTTTTTAGATGATAATATATAATGTTCATTACTTTTGAATTTTTTCTGAAACTTTAAAATATAAGTTAAATAATTTGTCTATCTTATTTGTTAGATGGGTACTTAACATTAAATAAATGCATGGATTTATCTTTTTGTTTTGACAATCTCCTTAATTATAGGTTATAAAGCTGTCAATGGAGTAAAATTTATATTGTAAGGCCATATAATGTAAATCTGAGACTTAATTAGACATACCCGGTAATTGAAATCAAAACAAAGTCTGCATATCACTGATTAAATGTCTTTATCATCTGATTAGAAAAGCCAATAAGGCAATTGAGAATTCTTTATACTCTTATCTAAATTCATAAACACTTTATATTTTTATTGTCATAAAAGAACAGTGTTCCAATGTCACCCCCATTACACAGATTTTATTTCTTCAAGGTCAATAACTTAAAAAAAAAATGTTTTTTTTATTTTTTAAAACTTTTTAAAATTATCTTAGAGAGTGGAAGACTTAAGAGCAATTTCTGATATATTGAATATTGCTGATTTTAACCTTTGATATGAATTTGTACATGTGAGAGCGCTTACAATGCAAATTTCCATATAATTAATATTTCTAAGGGGCATAACTCTTATAAAAATAATTGATCGGCACTGACTTTTGAAATCGTCCGAGACAAAGCTGATATAAACCTACAATATAAGTTTCATAAAAATCTGGCAGGAATTGTACACATGAGAGGGCTAATAATGCAACTTTTCATATTATTAATATTTCTAAGGGCCATAATTCTTTTAAAAATAATTGATCGGCACTGATTTTCGAACTCGTCCAAGACATTGCTGATATATAAACCTACAATACAAGTTTCATAAAAATCTGGCCAGAATTGTACACATGAGAGTGCTAACAATGCAATTTTCCATATAATTAATATTTCCAAGGGACATAACTCTTAAAATAAACAGCTGCGCTATAAGCACATGATACGCCCGTCGTCTTGTGTGTGAATTTTTATGCAATAACCATAAATAGTTTCTGACATACGGCGTGACATGCGAAAACCCCCCTTTTTTTTTTACAAAAAACTCAATATCTCTAAAATAAAATTTTGAATCAAAACCAAAAAGTATACAGATCTTTAGATTAATATAACTAAGAAGTGTGTAAAATTTTAAGCAATAATCATAAATCGTTTTTGAGATACGGCGCGACATGTGAAAACCCCCCTTTTAAAAAAAAAAATCAATATCTCAAAAATAAAATTTTTAATCAAAACCAAAAAGTATACAGATCTTAAGGTTAATATAACTAAGAAGTGTGTAAAATTTTAAGCAATAATCATAAATCTTTTTTGAGATATGGCGCGATATGTGAAAAACCCCTCCCCCTTTTTTTACAAAATACTCAATAACTCAAAAAAAAAATTTTGAATCATCACCAAAAAGTATACAGATCTTAAGGTTAATATAACTAAGAAGTGTGTAAAGTTTTAAGCAATAATCATAAACTGTTTTTGAGATACGGTGCGACATGTGAAAAACCCCTCCCCCTTTTTTAACAAAATATTCAATATCTCTAAAATAAAATTTTGAATCATCACCAAAAAGTATACAGATCTTAAGATTAATATAACTAAGAAGTGGGTAAAGTTTTAAGCAATAATCAGAAATTGTTTTTGAGATACGGCGCGACAGGTGAAAAAAAAACACACACCTGTTTTAGTTACTAAGTCCCATAACTCAAAAAGTTTTAATCTTATTTTCACCAAAAAGTATACAGATCGTTTGACCATCATAAGAAACAACTATGTTAAGTTTAATGAAATTTGGATGTCATTCTCAAGTTACAGTGCGACATGTTTACGCCGGACAGACAGACGGACAGACAGACGAACAGACAGACGGACGGACGCCGGACATTTGTATACCATAAATCGTCCCGTCATAAATTTGACGGGCGTATAAAAATTATTGATCAGCACTGATTTTCGAACTCGTCCGAGACATTGCTAATATAAACCTATGATATAAGTTTTATAAAAATCTGTCAAGAATTGTACATGTGAGAGCGATAACAAGACCGGACGGACAGATGCCCGGTATTTCTATGTCCCCCGCAACACGTTGCACAGGGGACAAAAATGGGATACAAGTAATTGTATTTTTTACTGAACACGAATATAAATGCATTGGTTCATTGTCAAGATGACTTTGTAACCTTTCTAAATTCTTACATCAAAACATTATGATGGTCAAAGGTTTATCTATTCCAAGATTAAACTCAATCTCTTATTGATATTATTATGCTTTAAGAAATTTAAACCCAATCAAGCTTTTTCTTTCAATGCACATGTATTACATTACTTAACTTAAGCTGTTTTCTATTTTTCATATTTTCTATATGTATTATATATGTAGTGAAGATATTTAAGTATTTTCAAGCACTATAAGTCATTTGTTTAAAAAGCTGGAAATACAGTATTATAATTCATCAGGAAATCTGGTTGAACATAAGGCAGCTTTAAGACAAAAATAAATCTGAATAAGACATTTGATAGAACTCTCAAGTTATATTTATACATTCTATCTTATCTGTACCATAACATGAAGGATACATACCGTTGTCTATTTTCATCTAAACTAGGTTCTCTTTTATCAAACTATGTTACTAAAGTAATTGAAATATAATCAAAAAGTAATTGATGATTGCATGATATTTTTAGCTGTAACCGATTAAATTACGATTAAATGTAATCGAAAATGTTGATGATTACAGATTACTGTCGATTACTTTGAAAAATGTAATCAATTACAATCGATTACAATTACAGTTACCCCATCCCTGCTACTGAGTCAGGGCAAAACACTTATGGTGGCATCATATTCTTGTCTGAGAAGAAGGCTTTTGCTCACCAACTTGGCGCATTTTCTTTATTTTCCCTTCTGTTGCCTTTCTTTCTCCTGCATTCCATTCATAAGGTGTTCTCAAGGTCAGCTGTGAAAAAACTTTTACATGACTTTCATCTTGAGGAAAGGCCCAAAATGCAATCTACAACAGAAAAATAATACGAATACCCTTCAAACGATCTCAAGTTGCACTCTATCAAATCTGTCACATTTTAAAAGAAAATCATGAAAATTCTTCAACAAAATGTTTACAATAAGTGAAAATAGGTTTCAGGAGGTGCTGATTTTTTCATCATTTATGCCATTGATAAATTTAATTTACAAATTATTAAGAAACTAAGGTTAGAACTCCCTAAGGTAAAGAAAGTTGATCTTAGGGCTAAAAAACTAACTGACTTCACTAAGAAATTGTGGCAGTTTTACTAAATCATTCCACATTTGTCACTTTTACAGAGTTTTGCTGAATCGTTCCACATTTTTTTAGATGCAAATTGAAAGGTATGTTACAAGACACTTTCCCCAGCAGAGAGTTGAATAATAAGTTACCTTTTTTAACATTGACTCATCAAGAGGTGGATCATGGCTTTCTATTTCTTCACAAGATACATGTTTAGCTACTATTTTTGCTGCAAAATCCACAAGTGAAGTCACTTCCTGTGGATGTGTTGATGATAGCTGTAATTCTGGTGTGGACATCCGTGACCCAGGACTTCTGGGTCTAGACAATTCACTGTCTTGATCCATGTCATCTACATAGCTATCAGTCCCATCAAGAAAGTCTAAGTAATCTGAAAATTGTATGACAGAACATTTTAAAGGGAAAGAAAGGATTTATTGTGGATGTACCAGTGTACATTCATAGACAAAAAAAATCTCATAAAATACTTGGAAATATAAACTAATAAAAATAAATATATGACTGTAATTTGTATAATGTTTGACATAAGGCAGGAAAAGATGCACAAGGATGTTGCATTAAGAACACTCTGAGACCCAATAAAAATTCGTAAGATTTCCGCGGAACCCAGTGTCTCGTCTACTTTTGCTGTTAGTCGCAGGCTCAACAAAAATGGGGAGAATATTATTTATCTTTTGATTGTAAGAAGCTTCTATCCAAGTTTGGTAAAAATCAAGGATGGTTTATGAATCTAATAAATGTTTTTAAAACTTAAACTGCAGACTGTATGTAATGTTAACTGGAAGAAAAACTAAGTCCATTTATAAGTAAAATACGGATAAACAGAATAATTTTTTTACAAAATTTACTTCTGGATACTATCTTATGATCATAAACAAGCTTCTGTCCAAGTTAGGTAGAAATCCAAGATAGTTATAGAAAGTTATTAAAATTTCAAAAACTTTAACCACAGATTGAATATTTGTGGATGCTGCCGCATGTAGGATCGCTATGTCTCGCTTTTGCGACAAAAGTCCCAGGCTCAACAAAAAGGGAAATGGAATTTTCAGCAACAAAACCTGCTTTTTCACACTAAGATAAGCACTTGGACCCAACTATATTTGCAAATGGTTATGTGCTGCTTCAATAATGTTATGGCAAAATTGCAAGAAAACATCAACTTCAGATATTTTTTATGTATGCATTTGTAGTAAATGTAGTAACAAAATTGTCTAATGTGTCATATTACCATTATTATATTATATCACAAAAATTTGTTTGCACCCAACCTTACAGTTTTTATCCTAAAGGTCTGTAAATTTTGCAAAAAAATCAGTAAAACTAGAGGGGATCTAATGATCACAGATACCACTGCCTGCAGCAACTGAGAGATCACAATCTTGATTCTATAGCAGGATGATGTAAAAATTTATAAGATGATGTAATATTATTGCCATAGTTCAAAGGCAAAGCATAATCATACTAAATGTACAAAAAATGTCTGTATACTCTCAAATATTCTTAGTGCAATTCTATATAAATAAGATGAAAACAGTGGAGTGCAATGATGTCAAGTATCAGAACTCTGTAACTATAACCATGTGATAACTGTGAAAACAATCTGAATCAAATTTAACCTGTCTTTATATTCTATTAGTGGTCCAAATCATTTTATTTAAATTTCAATAAATTGAAATAAGGGGTTCTCCATTTATTATCTGAAAGACAAACAAACTAGAGGCTCTCCAGAGCCTGTGTCGCTCACCTGATTCTACTTTGGTTTTGGAAATCATGTTAAAAAAGATAAAAATCATAACAGATACCCTAATAATGAGTGAGGCCAAATTTGGTTAAATATTGGCCCTGTAATTTAATAAAAAATCCTGGTGGCCATCTTGAACAGTAAATCAGCAACAAAGTAGTAACACTTCATCAGCACCTCATATGAAACATTTATGCCATGTTTGGTTTCATTCCATTCAGTGCACCTCTAAAAGAAGCATTTGTATGTATTTCCAAAAGGGTCTTATGTTAAAGGAAGTCCCCCCGCTGGCGGCCATTGTAGATGAAGGATCACCTTCAAAGTAACAACACTTAGTCAGCACCTCATAAGGAACAATCATGCCATGTTTGGTTTCAATCCATTTAGTGGTTCTCTAAAAGAAGACATTTGTATGTATTTCCCATAGGGTCCTATGTTAAACTAAGTCCCCCGCTGGTGGCCATCTTGGATGATGGAGCGGCTTCAAAATAACAACACTTGGTCAGCACGTCAAAAGGAACATTCATGCCATGTTTGGTTTCATTCCATTCAGTGGTTCTCTAAAAGAAGACATTTGTATGTATTTCCCATAGGGTCCTATGTTAAACTAAGTCCCCCGCAGGCGGCCATCTTGGATTATGGATCGGCTTCAAAGTAACAACACTTGGTCAGCACTTCATAAGGAACATTCATGCCATGTTTGGTTTCATTCCATTTAGTGGTTCTCTAAAATAAGACATTTGTATATATTTCCCATAGGGTCCTATGTTAAACTAAGTCCCCCGCTGGCGGCCATCTTGGATGATGGATCGGCTTCAAAGTAACAACACTTGGTCAGCACCTCATAAGGAACATTCATGCCATGTTTGGTTTCATTCCATTCAGTGGTTCTCTAAAAGAAGACATTTGTATGTATTTCCCGTAGGGTCCTATGTTAAACTAAGTCCCCCGCTGGCGGCCATCTTTAATGATGGATTGTCTTCAAAGTGACAACACTTGATCAGCACCTCATAAGGAACATTCATGCCATGTTTGGTTTCATTCCATTCAGTGGTTCTCTAGAAAAAGTTCAAAATGTAAAAAGTTAACGACGACGATGACGACGGACGACAAACGACAGACGCCAAGTGATGAGAAATGCTCACTTGGCCCTTCCGGCCAGGTGAGCTAATAAACAGCTGCGCTATGAGCGCATGATACGCCCGTCGTCTTGTGTGTGAATTTTTATGCGGGACTTAGTAACTAAAACAGGTGTGACATGTGAAAAACCCCTCCCCCTTTTTTTACAAAATACTCAATAACTCAAAAATAAATTTTTGAATCATCACCAAAAAGTATACAGATCTTAAGGTTAATATAACTAAGAAGTGTGTAAAGTTTTAAGCAATAATCATAAACTGTTTTTGAGATACGGCGCAACATGTGAAAAACCCATAAATAGTTTCTGACATACGGCGTGACATGCGAAAACCCCCTTTTTTTTTTTACAAAAAACTCAATATCTCTAAAATAAAATTTTGAATCAAAACCAAAAAGTATACAGATCTTTAGATTAATATAACTAAGAAGTGTGTAAAATTTTAAGCAATAATCATAAATAGTTTTTGAGATACGGCGCGACATGTGAAAACACCCCTTTTAAAAAAAAAAATCAATATCTCAAAAAAAAAAATTTGAATCAAAACCAAAAAGTATACAGATCTTTAGATTAATATAACTAAGAAGTGTGTAAAATTTTAAGCAATAATCATAAATCATTTTTGAGATATGGCGTGACATGTGAAAAACCCCTCCCCCTTTTTTTACAAAATACTCAATAACTCAAAAATAAAATTTTGAATCATCACCAAAAAGTATACAGATCTTAAGGTTAATATAACTAAGAAGTGTGTAAAGTTTTAAGCAATAATCATAAACTGTTTTTGAGATACGGCGAGGACATGTGAAAAACCCCTCCCCCTTTTTTAACAAAATACTCAATAACTCAAAAATAAAATTTTGAATCACCACCAAAAAGTATACAGATCTTAAAATTAATATAACTAAGAAGTGTGTAAAGTTTTAAGCAATAATCATAAATTGTTTTTGAGATACGGCGCGACATGTGAAAAAAAACACACACCTGTTTTAGTTACTAAGTCCCGTAACTCAAAAAGTTTTAATCTTATTTTCACCAAAAAGTATACAGATCGTTTGACCATCATAAGAAACAACTATGTTAAGTTTCATGAAATTTGGATAAGTCATTCTCAAGTTACGGTGCGACATGTTTACGCCGGACAGACAGACAGACAGACGGACATTTGTATAACATAATACGTCCCGACAAAAATTTGACGGGCGTATAAAAATTGAACTGTTTTTACAATCGAGTACCATAACTTTGGAACAGTAGAAGTGAAACAGACAAAAATTGAATTTAACCGGTCTTTTGTAGTCCTTAATATATAGTAATAAAGATACTGCTGGCTTCATTGTAACAGGTCATAATTTTATAAGTAAAATCATTAGAAAAACGTTGAGGTCAGCTGGACATGCCTTATCATGCTGAAGATGTAAACTTAGCTCTGGCACTGAACTAATTACCAAACTCACAGTAAGATTTTCTAATTTAATTGCAATCCAAAATCTCATACAATGGTTAATGTGGATACAATATGACTCCTACTGTAATAGTACAATTCTTACTTATGTTACTATCCTACTCTGATCTTACTTTTAAATTTACAACATATTTATACCATTTTATCATGACAAGTTATGAGTAAACGAATTCATTCTAATAAGTACAAAAGTCATAATTACAATCCTGTCATCTTATAATACTCATGCTAACGAGAATGTCCAAATAATTAAATTACACATAATTAACTCAACTGGAACCTGTCACATGATGATTTCTCTAAATTTATGACACCAAAACTATTAGAATTAGTCCAAATCTATACAAAAATGTTGAAAGTTAAAAATAACTCAAAATTCCTCTATGCAGATATATCTACTTTAACATTGATAGAATATTTATAAAGTGCCTAGAGGATCAACCTGGCAGTCAGCAGGGTTAAAAAACATCCGTTGTTCGACCTGCTAGTCAAATGCGTTTTGTTAAAATATACTTTGTCACATTTTTGGTCTTTTGGAAAATGTTGTTTGTGCTGTATTTAGATCCCTTTACCAAGAAATTTGTTTTGCATGCACACGAATAAAAATTGCAGTTTTTATCCAACGCAATCATAGGTTTGAACGTTGTTTTCAATTTAGACTTTTATATATATATATATATATATATATATATATATAGTGTAAATTCAAAAATTATTGCATGCATTTATTATTGCTATTTATGAAGAATGGACTAACATGCGAGATTAATCATTGAGATTTCAGTAAAATCTGCATACAGATCTATTTATTAGATATCAGAATGCGAGTTCTTATTATTGCAATACTCAACCTGTCACATTATTCGCATTAATAATAAAAGAGGTGATAGCTCTCAGATGAAAGTAGATACATGTAAGGATAACTTGAATTTCATTGAAAGCGGACCACACCAACCCAGCCTGCTATTTGCCATTATTAAACTTTATGCAAATTTCTTATACCCATTCATTTCATTGGACACATGG